TTGTTGTGTTTGTTGTTGTGTTTGTTGTGTTTGTTGTTGTGTTTGTTGTTGTTGTTGTGTTTGTTGTTTGTTGTTGTTGTGTTTGTTGTTGTTGTTGTGTTTGTTGTTGTTGTTGTTGTTGTGTTTGTTGTTGTTGTTGTTGTGTTTGTTGTTGTTGTGTTTGTTGTTGTTGTGTTGTGCGCTCACCCTGCGTGTGAAGTGTCGCGCCAGCAGCTGGTACTCGAAGCTGCTCGGGTTCCTCAGCGCGTCGTTGTACGTTTCTCCTCGGAGCCGGATGCTGAGCTCCACCACGTGGTCCTTCAGCGGCCTGGAGGGCCACGGCGCCGCGGCGTCGATCTCGTTACCGATCTGAGGGGAGGAGTCACACAGGTGTCAGGTGGCCAGGTGAGTCGTCGCATCGTCACGCCAGCTAACTCGTGTTTGCTTACCGAGTTCTCCTGCTCGTCCTCCCAGCCGAAGCCGTTGTTCCCCAGCATGCCGTCGTGGTACGCTCCCTGGAGGTCGGGGAAGTTGCCGTTGTTGTATTCCACCTGGTACTTGGTGGTGACCTCCAGGGAGGAACCAGGGGAGGCTTCTGAGGTCTGTTCTGCTGGAGGCTCCGTCATGGTTTCTGTTCCATCTTCAGTCGGTGAGGTTCCTTCAACCGATGGAGGTGCTTCCTGGACGCCGTCCTCACCTGCAGCTCCATAGTCCTCCTCGGCGGTTTCTACCACCGAAACCGATCCTGGATGGGCGTCCGCTTCTGAGGCTGGTTCTTCCTCAGGAACAGTTCTGGTTTTTGTAGGTTCAGGTTCCTGGGTCTCCTCACTGCTTTCTGGTGGAGCTTCCACCTTCACCTCAGGTGTTTCGTCCTCTTCAAGCCCAGGCAATAATCTCTCAGCGTCTTCTGGAACCACAACAATAACCGGAGTGACCTCTTCTACAACCTCCTCAGTGACTTCTGACATGGTTCCTCCTGCTTCTGGTTCTTCAAAACCAACTCCTTCCTCTGTTCTCTCATCTGAAGCCTCAGAAGCTGCATCTCCTCCGTCCTCTGAAGGTTCTGCTTCTTGTGTTTTATCAACAGAAGTTCTGACAAGATGAGTTTCATCCTCATCAGGTTCTACTTTGGGTTCTGCTTCTTGAAGAGATCCTCCTGCAGGTTCCTTCTTCTCTGTCGGTTCTTCCACAGAATCAGTTTCTTGAGCTGGTTCTGGTTCTTCTGCAGTTTCTTCTACAATTTTTGGTTCTTCTGTGGTTACTGTTTCT